GGCAACGTTAGCCAACAGCTAGCTGTCTCAGGATTTATTTTCTGAGAGACTTTTCTTTACAGCTGTTTGTTGTTGCATATGTAATACAAGCCGAATGTAAGTTAACGGTTTCAACTTTTACTGGGCTTAAAATAATAGTTTAATAACTATATCTTATTGAGAAAACGTGCGCAGCATCATGAACAGCTTAATTTATGAGTGAAGTTCGAGGTTGGCGTTCCTCTCTCTGGTTTTCTGCTCCAAGGAGCTAATTTGTACATCATTGGGGGTTTACTTCAAACCACTCTTTGAATTTTAAAAAAAAAATCAGTGAGAGTTGTGACCAGATTAAATCCAGATTAACTGAAGCTGTTTTACACGCTCATGAAAACATGGAGCAGTACAACATTCTGGGTCGGACAGGAGAAGGAGCTCATGGCATAGTCTTCAAGGCCAAACATATTGAGGTGACGGACTGGTGCTTTTATGTCTGCATCTTACCTCATTTCTTTCCCCCCCTTTTCTTTGTGTAATCCGATCAGCATTAAATTTGGAGTCTAACCTCAGCGGCTTAGAAATGTGACATGGAAATGCTCTTGTGTGTTAGACAGGGGAGACGGTGGCTCTGAAGAAAGTGGCTCTGAGGAGGCTGGAAGACGGCATTCCGAACCAGGCTCTGAGGGAGATTAAAGCACTGCAGGAGATCAAGGACAACGAGCATGTGAGTGAATGTGCAGAGAGTTTTTACAGATAAGAGTCATTTTAATCTTAAAATTTGATTAGTGTTTAGTGCTGCGGTGGGTAGCACTGCTGCCTCACAGCAAAAAGGTCCTGAGTATGAGTCCCTTCTGTGTGGAGGTTGCGTGTTCTCCCTGGGTTCTCTCCGGGTACACTGGCTTCCTCCCACAGTCCAGAAACATGCAGTTAGTGGGGTTAGGTTAATTGGTAATTCTAAATTGCCCATAGGTGTGAATGTGAGTACAAATAGTTGTCTGTCTCTATGTGTTAGCCCTGCAACAGACTGTCCAGGGTGTACCCTGCCTCTCCCCTATGGTAGCTGGAATACACTCCAGCTCCCCTGGTGGCTGGGGGGATATCACAAACAAGATATAACAGAAACCAAAAATTCGTACATGGAAAACATAGACAATCAGAGCAGAGCAGCAAGAACAGAGCCGAGCATAACAGACATGTTAATAAAAAGGAGATTAGGCTATATGAGAAAATTATAAGAAGCTGCAGAGTGTCTGGAGTCTGAAGGGATGCAGGACTTCTTTCTGTGACTTCCTCCTCAGGTGGTGAAGCTGAAGGACGTCTTTCCTCACGGCACGGGCTTCGTCCTGGTGTTCGACTTCATGCTGTCTGACCTCTCTGAGGTCATCAGGAATTCCCAGCGCCCTCTGACTCCTGCGCAGGTCAAAAGTTACATGATGATGCTGCTGAAGGGCGTGGCTTTCCTGCATCACAACAATGTCATGCACCGGGTGAGCGCAGCTAACAGTTATTATCATTAATGAGTCATCTGACTGTTTTCTCAGTGAATCCTGCGTTTGTAACAAGCAACACTTAAACATACAAGGATATTTAAATACTGTTGGTTATTCATAATAAATGAAAAGCTGAAAATATGTGAAATATGTGGAGAGTTTGGGTTTCTTTTGCTTTAACAAAATAAATCAAACCATTATAAAGTGAAGTTTGTGTGTTTGCAGGATCTGAAACCAGCAAACCTGCTCATCAGCTCCTCAGGCCACCTGAAGATTGCAGACTTTGGTCTGGCCCGGCTATTCAGCGAGCAGGGAGAGAGGCTGTACAGCCACCAGGTGGCCACCAGGTAAATATGACTTTATTTAGCAGCTAGCTTTAGCTAATCAAAATAAAATACAGTATGACTTACCAAAAGAACTCAGTGAGGTACAAAACACGAAGAGCAAAATGCTCATTTAAATAGAAAAATGACAGTAAAATGAAAGATCTCGAGTGAAAATTTAAATGCAATATAATGAACCTAAAAGTAAGTACTTTTGTATATAAAATGCAGTAATGCAGTATCTAAAAGGCTGAATGTAATACAGAAAATGGCTCTATAAAGTAAAGTAGCACTAACACAGCATTAGCTTTAGTGCTGCTGGGAAAAATCCACGTGGTGACATGTAAAATGCAGTCAGATGATACTTTAAATATTCACTCAGACTTGCTTTAAAGCTCGACTGGTGAACAAATGTGTCACAGAACAGATTCACATATTCAGATTTGAGGTGCTCATTACGCCTGTGAATAATAATCATGTTAAAGTCGCCATGTCATGTGACTTGCTGGTTCAGTTCATTCTAAAATAATCACCACTTTCAACTGGACATCAGTACTTTATCAGTAATGTGCAGTAAATGTGCTCAGTTACATTTGACCACTGTGTGTTTAGATGGTACAGAGCCCCTGAGCTGCTGTACGGAGCCCGAAAGTATGACGAGGGAGTCGACCTGTGGTAAGTACAACCCTGAAAATGCTGCTAAAAGTAGCGCCCACAGTATTATTTTTTTGCTGTTGTTCGACCATTACAGCTTACATTACATTATATAGATTTACATTACATAGACTTACATTTAACCAGGGATTCGAGGCTAATTAGTGTGATTTTTCACCTGGCTCTGCATTTATATTATGTAATTATTTTATATCTGTAATTCATATTTTATATTGTGATTTTATCTGTATCATGGTTTTACTGGAAAGCACTTTGGTGTACTTTGGTCTTTAAATGTGCAATACAAATAAATTTGATTTGATTTGATTATCTACTGTGAATCCTCCGCTGTTTAGCTTTTACTCAATAAACCTGGATGCTTTTGTTTCTGTTGTGCATGCTTGTATTCTTTTCCTGTATCAGCGTATTTTATTATATATTATTCTTTAACATACTATGTAACATGGGACCATGTAACATAGAAAGAGTAAGCTTTAGCTTCCGTACACTCACTCTGTTAGTGTTCACAGTTCCTGCTCAGGTGTAAATGGGTCCAGTGATCAGAGATGAACAGCAGGGGGCAGCAGCAGTCTGAAGTCACAGCTTTCTGTTTAGTCCGTGTGTGAGTGCTTGTGTGTGTGTTTTAGGGCAGTCGGCTGTATTTTTGGGGAGCTGTTGAACTCGTCTCCTCTGTTTCCTGGAGAGAACGACATCGAGCAGCTCTGCTGTGTCCTCAGAGTGCTGGGAACCCCGACTCAGGACAGTTGGCCTGTAAGACACACACTGGTTTTTCCATCACTTCAGGGGACGTTACATTAATATACATTCATTCTCTTAGGGATCTTTTTGTATTAGGTTAAACTATTAAGCTTTATATCAAATTATCATCTCACACATTCTGCCTTTTATATAAATTGATATTCTGAAAATGTAAACACAATGAGGATGCCTAATTTCCACATGTATTCACTCAGTGGCAGTGTTTACTCTTTCATCTTTGCACATAGTGCATATAAATATCCGCCGATATCCATGTTCATTAAATTTAAATGTGCTAAAAAGACGAAATGTGTTATTTTTTAAAAATAATTTTTTTTAGTGCATAGTCTACATTATAATCATCATCAGTATATTATTATATGTGATAGGCCTGCAATCATCTGCCTGAAATATTGGTTGGTCTCCAGTTAGCTTTATTTAAAATGTTTAGTTTAAGATTAAAGGAAATCCAGTAGACTAGCAGTAAATTATGATAAATATGTAGAGAAATTAAACTGGACCTAAAATTGATCCTGTGTAATTTACTCTAAAAACCAACAACTGTTTGAAGTCTGGTGCCATTTTTGTGGTCTGTGTGAGATTTTATCTGAAGGCTGAGGTAAAATAATGCAAAGTTTAATTTTGTCTTGTTCTTTTCTTTTATGGCTGTGAAACTGGCTAAAACATTTTAATCCCTCTCCTGTCTGTCTCCAGGAGATAGTGGAGTTGCCAGATTACAATAAAATCACCTTTAAGGAGAATCCAGCGATCCCATTGGAGGAAATCATCCCTGACACGCCCCCTCAGGCAGTGGACCTGCTCTATAAGTTCCTGGTGTATCCATCTAAACAGCGCTGCTCAGCCAGAGAGGTAAGAAACCTGAAGCAGAGCTTAAGTTTAAAAACGGAGTTCCTCAGGGCTCGGTCAGAGGTCCTCTCATTTTTACATAAAGAATCATTTCTTGGGACATAGCCGTTATATTTTCCCTGATCACTGTGGTCTGTTTATCACCCATTATCACTCAGATAAAGGTTAATAACCTGATTATTGATCAGTGCTCTCCCTGTCCTCTCCTCCTTACTGCAGGCTCTCCTCCATCCATATTTCTTCACTTCGCCAATTCCTGCTCACCACTCAGAGCTGCCCATCCCTGAAAGGGGAGGGCGACCCCCCCGCCAACGTTTCCAGGCTCCGCCCACTGACTTCTCAGTGGACCTACCATTGCAGAACAGTATGGTAGACCCTGCCCTAATACAGGGATACGCTTCCTGCCTCTGAACTGACCGCTGATCTTTACCATCTCTCAGCTGCTCTTATACCAGTTAATCTTGTTTTATATATTTATTTATTATCTAGTTTACTAAATCCTCTCCTTCGGACTGAATCCTCATTGTTTTATGAAATTTAGCTCACACAGAAGATTTCTGACGGTCTTTCCTGAGCCTGAACCTCTTCTGTAACCACTTATAACCGTGAGAAAATGACCTAATACAGTTAAATTTCCACACACTGAATTTATCGACTAAAAGGAATTAATGTTTAGCTCCACTGGGTCTCCATTTGGTAAAAGGATGGAATAATGAAAAAAAAACCCACACGAAATCAAGCAGATTTTTATTCTAAAAATATTTGTTTCTGTTCTGTTTATGAAACATGTTGTGAGTTTTATTTAAAGTAAAGTGTGGAGAAGTTGGGTTGGTTCCTGACCATTTTTTCCCTTTAAATATGTCATTTCTGAGGATTAATCTTGAAAATAATGATGTGTTCACAGCGTGAGCTGTGTGCCTGAGACAACCATATCAAAGAATGCACTCACTGACATCTTACAGAACCAAGAGTAAAGAAAACTGACTGAAACGGAGTGTAAGAGCAGACTGAACCTGTGGATTAGTGATTATTTGTACACACACTGACCTCAGTACTGTGTGTGGCGATGTTTAACTAGAGCGTCCACGACTGGAACAGCAGACCAGGAAAAGTAGAAGAACAATTTTTTTCTTTTCTATACTTTTTGATGTGTTTTTGAGGCCAGTTGTGGGCTGAACCTGGACTCCAGTAGTCTGACAGTGATCTCATATTATACCATGTTTACAGCAGTAAATGATAACAGCTATGTAAACACTGGAAACTCAAAATTTCAATAATAAAAAAAATCCCCTTCAAAAAACCCACGTCAGAATTTGTAGGAGGAGTCAGACACCTCCTCTTCCTCCTGGTCGCCCTCCTTCAGACCCCAGAGCAGCATTCAGAGGAAGTTAAAGCCCTCAAAGCTCTTCAGCCTCTGTGAGTACCATCAGAAAATAGAGCAGTGATCCTTTGTGTTAGAGAGAGCACTCACTCAGTCTTTAATTTTTCTTTCCTCCTCTTAGAAATTCAGCGATGATGTCAAACTATTTGCCGTTAGCTTATTGGTCTTCTGCTGTGACGTCCAACAGATCTGAAACAAGCTTCAGTACGAAGGTGAGAGTCTTTTATTATATTCCTGCTTATGGAGTCAAAATGTAATCAAGTACAAGTATGGAAGTATGTAATCTGATGTTCAATAAACATATGGAGTGGGGTTTTCTTTCTTCTGAATAAGTAGTTAATGTTTTTGCTTTAATGTGCTTTTACCTGTACAGAAGTAAAAAGTGCCGTCCTGATAATGTTATTGACAAATGTTATTTGGCTCGCCATAAATTATTTGGTGATTCTTATGCACACGTTTAGCTCTTTGAAAGAAGATTGAATTTTTTTTTTGGAAAATGGAGAGTTTATTGAAACATCTGACAAATTAGTTTGAAAAAATCTTGAAATTTGAATTTCTGCATATGACTTTACATTTGTATCGTATTTGCGACGTCTGGCATTTAAAAAAATGTTTAAAAAAGTATTGTGCAATTAATTCAGGCTTTTCAGGGGAAAAAAATCACACTGATGATGCAGATGTCTCAAAAACACCCAAAAAACGTGTGTATCAGAGATGGTACCCGGGGACTAAAGGGGTTGCAGCTTAGCTCGGTTCGATGAATGTGGCCCTGATCTTACAAAAATTCCTGATATTCCTCAAAGAACGAGGCCTTCTGAGGCCATTTTAAAAGTAATTACAGGAAATTATTTGTTTCCTCTTTTGTGACGCGTCCAGAGCGCCTGACCTTCATCAAACATAACAAAGTTTCCTCATCTGATATTTAGTTGATTTATATATTGATGTATATATGATATATTTATTTATTCTTGTTACGCCTTTTCTGTTAGGTCACTGACCCCACAGCCAGGCTCCTCAGGGGTCAGGGAGCCTGTGGTAGTTTTGATATGAGCTGATCTGTTAGATGTCAGATGCAGGTTTCTCTTACATTGATATGATCTCTTTTCAGGTGGGGCCTGTCCTTTCAGACACTTTCCTCCAATCACCATGCACATCCCAAGAGGCCCCTCCCTCGCTCCTCCTCACCCCCTGCCTCTGGCTGAATGATTCCAGCTGTCAGTCACCGAGCCCTGCTTACATCCCACCTGCATCTTCTTCATCCTTGTATAGTAATCATGCTCTGATTCCATCCCCCACCCACCTCCTCTCCTCAACACCTGGATGTAACAGTTACCATGGCAACCTGTACACACCCTCCTCCCCCTCTGCAGGTGACTGGATGCTACCTGACAGTCTGTCTTGGGGGCAGGGATGTGGACCAGGTGAGTATTTACCTGCCTGTGCTAGTAGATCTGCGTGTGTGTCTTTTGTGCTGATGTGTAATTTGTCATCGTTTGCTCAGAGCAGCGCGAGTGCGTGAGCTGTGGGACGCAGAGCGCCCCCCTGTGGAGGCGAGACGCTGCAGGTCGACTCCTGTGTAACACCTGCAGCCTCGGACAGGAAGCCAACAACACACCGCTGCTGAGACCGAAGAGACGAGCTGTAAGATGACACACACGTATTTGAAAAATTGTATTAACGTTTTAATTTGAAAATCGTGTTTTATTGATAATATTGCACCAATTTAAAATGAGCATCAGAAAATTAAAATTCTACACTGTACAGCAGGTAGGACTTTTATATATAACATTTTATATAGCTATATGAAGAGTTGTTTTTGAAGTTTACATTATTGTTTTAATTTTAATTAAGTCCCTCACAGGCATCTGTATCTATTTTAATTTATCTTTTATATAATAAAAATTGCTTGCAAAGCTGCAGTCATTGATGATTCTGGTGTCTGTTGGGGCCTTTGGCAGAAATTCACATTATAAATAGTAATATAAGTAAGAACGTATATCACTTTCAAAGATCATTTTTTTTGTTTCTGATGACTGAACTGACATGACAAACGGGAACATGACGTCCTGTCATGGGGACTCTTCAGAGCACGTTGTACATACAGTATAATCAGTTAAAAGTGGAATCCTGAACCTATAGTTAACATTTAAAGGTTGGACCAAACCCTTCTCTTTCCTGCTGGTGCCAGAAACGTAATCATTCTGAGAAAACTTAATGAAGGGATGTAGTAAATTATTTCACATTATAGAATTAGAATTCTAAATTACCCATACGTGTGAATGTACGTGTGAGCGGTTGTCGTCTCTCTGTTTGTCCTGTGGTAGCTGGGATGGGTGACCCTGATGAGGATGAGCAGAAGAGAATGGATGAATGGACAATAAAGTACACACAGCACAGTAATTTACACCAGTACATCAGAGTAATCAGAGTACCTTAGCATACACATCCAAATTTCTTTGCGTCTCAGTTTCATAAGTTAGCATTCACAGCTTTGGCAGTTAGCCCCAGCAGACACAGCTGTCATCAGTGAACTAGAGAAAACTGTTCAAGATGGCAGTTTTCACTCTGTTACTGGTGCCCAATAAAACAGAGAGTAAACCAGCAACTGTAGAAATGGAAGAGACCAGGTTTAGCTCAGTAATGATGCCAGGACCAAGCTGGCTGGTTGTAAGATATTTATGCCATATTTCCTAGTTCCTTCGGTCTACAGTGTACCGGTGGTGTCCTGACTCTGACTCCCGCCATACACCCTCAACTCAGTCATGTGACAGCCTGCGGAGATAAACACACCAGGCTGCTCTGCAGGCCAAGCTAACCACTGTTTAAAGCCAAAATCTTCCTCTTTTCTTCTTCTTCCCCTCTTCACTCTGTCAGTGCGCCCCAGGGCAGCTGTGGCTACAATGTACCTTGCCATTGCCAGTGTGTGAATGTGTGTGTGAATGGGTGAATGACTGAATGTAGTGTAAAGCGCTTTGGGGTCCTTAGGGACTGAGTAAAGCGCTATACAAATGCAGGCCATTTACCATTTTCATTGATCGCATCAGTTATCAGGTTTGATCAAAACTCCAGCTCAGGCATTCTTAGGGAGATCAGGTCATTGTAGTTTGAAGTTACTGGCGTGGGCCCTGAACAGCTGCCTGCCTCAGTGGCTCCTCTGATTGACAGACTAATTCTTAACTATTTATGATACCCAGTGATGAACAATATGAACAACACCATCTAACACTTTATAATAAAACTTCAAGTTAATTTTGGGTAATAGTTGTTTGGTTTTTTTTACTGTTCACGAGGAATAAAAATATAAATATTAAGAGCTAATTATTGCTTTGGAAACTAATTGATAACCATTATTTGGAGTGCTGTTGTAAATGTGTAAGCGATGGTGGTAACAGTGTAAGAAGGCAGGTGTAGTGCGCCGTTGGGGAGCTCGGTTTGTGTTCGGTTTCACTCACAGCAGACTTTTGTTTTCACTCCTTGTTTACTTCTGCTTTTGCTGTTTGCTGAGGTTGAGGAAAAGATTGTGGTTGGGGTTAAAATCATAGACTGTTTATAAAAGATGGACGTAGACGCAAAGATGCTTCGCTCCGGTTTGTGCCGTCGGGACCTTTGCATTTTTGTTTTTTTACAGTTTTTATTTGGTTGGTTCGAGTTAGAAGGGAACACGTTTCAAATGCTCGTTTGTTCAGCAGCTGGTGCTGCTTCATTAGTAAGCAGCATCCTTAAGCTGTACAGGGGCAGTGCACAGACACAGAGATCATTAGTTAAATGCTAGTTAACTAATTTGTGCACATAACTAGGGGTTACATTCGGTTTCAAACCAGAACGACTGCATAGATGATGGATGAGTTATTTCTGTTATACTTATTTGAAGTCTGCTTGAAGTCGGCTCAAAAGGCATTTGGGTGCACTTTATGTTTGCGTGAAAGAGTCCAAGCAGTCATTAAAAAGTTGGACGTCTGCGCAGAGCTTCATGCTCACCATTTGATGACATCAGTTTTGTCAGTTGGACCCATGTGGACCCCTGCGTGCTCGCAGATTCAGAAACAAAAACACAAAATTTCAGTCACACTGCAGCACAGACTGCTCCGATGGTCTGTTCATACAAAAACAAGGTCTAGAGGTTCATTGTAGAGACTCAGATGAGTGGAGGTGAAGCCCAGCGGTCGCCCGCCTGTGCTGGGTCAGTCAAAGCAGTCATGAAACTAACAAACTCAAAAGTGAGCAGGTCATTAAAACAGCTGCGATCAGGCTGTAAACCTTTTTATTTCTGCTGACAAGACCAGTGATGGAATGTATCTCAGTACATTTACTGAAGCACAATTTTAATGTACTTTTACTTTATTGACACGTTTCTACTACTTTTTACTTAGATGCTGTTATACTGTTCTTTTATCCTGTCTTCCTTTTCTCACCCCAACCGGTCGCAGCAGATGGCCCCGCCTCTCCCTGAGCCTGATTCTGCTGGAGGTCTCTTCCTGTTAAAAGGGAGTTTTTCCTTCCCACTGTCGCTAATGTGTTTGCTCATAGGGGGTCATATGAATGCTGGGTTTTCTCTGTAGGGTCCATCTTACCACATAAAGCACCTTCAGGCAACTGTTGTTGTGATTTGGTGCTGTATAAATAAAATTAAATTGAAAATACTATTTTTAATGTACTTTGTACTCCATACCATTATTTAAAAATTTTAGCTACTTCTTCTTCTTCTTATTAAGTATTATTATATTTAACCCTGCCCATATAAGTAATGGAAAACACCTCCAGCTGAAACAATAAAGTGACACAATAACCGATCAGTAATTCTGATCCTCTAATATGACGAATGTGAATACTTTTACTTTAGGTACTTCATTTATATTCTGATGGTAAAACTTCTGGTTTTGAGGCTTTTGCTTCAGAAAATAATTGAACAACAGGAACAGATCTACCACCATCTGCTGGATGAGGGGCATGCACTGAAAGTCCTGCCAGTTTTCTTCCTCTTATTTATTACTGAAAAAATCAGATTTCCTGTGGGAAACTTGTTCTTGTTCCCTCTAAAACGTCGTGTTTGAAAAAGAAAATTGTGTTAAATTACCTCAAAATATATTTCAAAACAGTATGGTGTGTTATTCCAGAGCAGGATTCAGAGGAAAGGAACTCAGTGTGTCAACTGTCTGACTGAGCACACGACGCTGTGGAGGAGAAACTCTGCAGGAGAAGCCGTCTGCAACGCCTGCGGACTCTACTACAGACTACACCGGGTACTACAAACTAAAATACTGCTCTGGCCACATGCTTTACTTCCTCTAGTAAGAGTAAAACAGCAAAGAAGGTGTTCCTTGTACTTTGAGGCTGAGTCTTTGTTAAATGTTTGCAGGTGAATCGCCCGCTGGCCTTGAAGAAAGATGGAATCCAAACCAGAAAACGGAAAGTGGTCACTAAGAATAAGAGGAAAACTGACCAATCAGAGACCAAGCTGCCTAAGGGGGTCCAGCCCAGTGATGTCACAGCAGCTGACAGCAGCGTTGTCGGGTTTTAGGTGACCTGATGCTGCAGGTAAAACGATCTGCAGCAGTTTAGGTTTTATTGTCAGAATTCAGTCACAGATAAACTGTAATGCAAGAAACGTGCATGTTTAGATTCTCAGGATCTCATTACCTCTGATCTCTCTCTGTTTTGAACCTTCATAAATCCACCAGAGGAAAACATCAGCTCAGGACCTTCTTCTTCATTATCAGAACAATCGAGTGAATAAATAAATCCATGAACCTCTGCAGACAGGAGCTGCTCGCACAACTTGAAGAGAAATTTGTGAGGGTAAAGCTTTTCAGACGTGTCTGCTGTTGTTGCTTCCTGTGTGCCGTCCTCTGTGATCACCTGTGTTTTTAGATTTTTGTTGGCTGTATTTACTGTGGACCTTGTCTCCAGCCCAATAAATGACTCACTTTTTGTTATTTAACACATCTTATTTTGCCTCCTACATTTGGGTCCCCACTCCTCCACTCCCCCCTCCTTCTGACAGCAGCATTTATCGACAGCTACCAGGACGAACTCATCACTCATGTGATCCAATGGATAAACATTAACAGCCTGGGTTTAGTTTCAGCTGCCTCACACACGTAAAACTCAACGTTTTAGAAATGGCTTTAAATCCAGGACCCGTTCCAGAAAACAGGTTTGAAAAAACTCAGTTTAACTCATTCACTGCCAGCCATTGGCAGTGAATGAGTTAACATAAAGTCTGATCAGTTATTGATTAATTATTAATATCTGATTCATCCTTACGTGGGGAAACTCTGAGTTTTGGGATTTTACATTAAGCAGTCAATATGTGCTTGAAGTGCAGACTTTCAGCTTTAATGTAATAATAGAAAATAATAATGTTCCCTCTACATTTCTTGACAAATAAATGGTAAATGGCCTGTATTTGTATAGCGCTTTACTAGTCCCTAAGGACCCCAAAGCGCTTTACACATCTAGTCACCCACCCATTCACACACAGATTCACGGCAAGCTACATCGTACCCACAGCCGCCCTGGGGCGCACTGACAGAGGCGAGGCTGTCGGACACTGGCGCCACCGGGCCCTCTGACCACCACCAATAGGCAACGGGTGAAGTGTCTTGCCCAAGGACACAACGACCGAGATATATATATTACTATATATATTACTGTATATATTACTATATATATTACTATACTATATTACTATATATTACTATTTTTATATATATATATATATATATCCTGTGTGCAAGGTACCGTACCTACACACTGCTCCCTGGGCGCCCAATGGCTGCCCACTGCTTCACAGAGTGAATGGGTTAAATGCAGAGAGGAATTTCCCCACGGGGATCAATAAAGTACACTTTCTTCTTTCTTCTTCTTCTTCTTCATTTTGCCTGTTTGTATCTGGATCTTTGCTCGCTTAAGAATTGTTGTTTCGCCTTCAATCTGGATTTCATTTATAATATCCACAAAGCAGAACTAAAAAGTACTATATTTGTATGTTTTCTGTATATTAATGAATGGAATAAATGTAATCTGAAGTATTATTCAGTTTGTTCATGCCGGCACAGCAATGTAGTGGATGGCATAGTTAGAACTTAAACAGAAAATACTTGTCAGATTAATCCGTGCATAATATCAATCAGTGATAAAAATATAATCCAGTTTGTCGAAATACCAAAAAGCTCAATCTCCAAATGAATCACTCATTCTTCTTTTTTAACTGCCTGAGCTTTTTTAAATCACATAAGAAACTCTAACATGACCGTGAGTGACCTCTGGGTGCTGATGTCACTGTTCAGGTCAGTTATTTTATTGCCCCTTATTGGAAACAGACAGACTCTGAAACAATCATCCACAAAGAACAATATAAAAACAGTAAAACCAACGCACAACAACCACAAAAATGTTAAATCACTAAAACACCAAGTCATTAGACACAGTAAAGATCGCCGCCTGCAGCAGGAGCAAGCAGAGAGCCTGTTTAGTGTAAACACGGCTGACTTTGTTTTTGCTTTGCACTTTATTTTATTTTATTTTATTTTTTACGATCGTCTGCTTTTGATTCACTCTGAAGTGTGTTGTTTCTGCTCCGTGTGTCTTCATGCGCTGGATTAGCAAAGCCAACAGGAAGCCGCCAAAGCAAAGTGTCTGATCACCTTCATCAATGAGAGATTTCAATTTTTGATTTTCCATCAAATCTGCTAGAAACACGCTTTGACTTGCTGATTATTGAATGTAAACTGATGGAAACAATCTCAGTCTTTCCATGTAAAGTTACATTTAAATGAACACAAAGTTACGAACACTTTAGGGGTCACTGAATGTCACGGAGGCCCCGAAAGTCCCGCAGGTTTAATGGGACTTATTGCCCAAACTCCACAGTGAGATGTCATCAGTGCTAACAGAGGCCTCAGCCTGTCACAGAGCATCATATGCTATTATCAGACAATAATACACCATACTCCCACCCTGGCCCCCACCCACTCAGAGCCTCCTGCTGGCTGCTTGCTGAGGGCCGAAATTGTGCAACGCAGGAGGCTTCTGGTTTTCCGGAGCCAGAAAAAAAGGCTAAGAGAGGAAAAAGGAGATAAAGAGAGGGCGGTTGGTGGTCTGAGGCCGGCCAAAGATGCCTTACCTCCCTCCACCACCTTGAATGTGTGTGTCTGTTTGTGTGTGTCTGAGGGGTCCGGGCAATAACAGTACGGATGAACGTCATGAAACATCAGAAACCACAGCAAACCCACACTTTTTTTACAGATGTTCACAGAGGCATCCGTTAGCCGTTAGTGCTGGTTACACACACACACACACACACACACACACACACACACACACACACACACACACACACACACACACACACACAGTAAACGGCTGGGGAGTGAACAGCTGCAGCAGATGTTGACATCTTGTTCTCTCAGCAGCCAGAAAACACTCAGAGAGTGGACTGCTACACTCAGAGGTCCTCCAGGACATGAAATCTGAGTTTGTCCTGAAGGTGGCGACAGAGGGAGGGGTCACCAGGTCACCACAGTTGGTAGGTTACACAGGCTGTGCGTATTGTGACGAGATCCCAGAAAACTAAATGTAAAAAACAAAGAGTGTGTGTGACACAGGAGTTTGGCATTTGAAACACATATTTTATTTGTATGAGCTTCTTGGTAATGAAAGGAGCCTCTCAGTCTGGTTCAAGTCTCATTTGGCTTTCAGTGGGGATGCATCGATCAGCTGTGAAGCTCACATGAGAAAAGCCTTTCTTACATTCATGTTCCACCAGCCAGTAAAAGTTTTCTTGTCTGCATCGTAGCTGTTTCTCATTTTCACAACCTACACGGATATTTTTGGCAGTTTCTCATGTTCCACAAACATCTGAGTAGCTTGTGATTTGTAGGTTTCCACTGTGGAGAATTGCTGCGTACATGCAGACATGTTAAAGTGCAGGAGGCCCGTGATGATCTTTACTGCTTTCTTCACAGTCATTCAATAAGATCCAGACTTTCGTGACAGGTCTGTCTTGCAGTGATGATTTTTGGAAACTAGAGCGTCTAGAGGGGGATAAAATCGCTGTGCAGTAAATCGTAAGGAGGGATACCTGGTCACTCTACCTTGGTCCGAGTTGTCCACTTACTGACTCATCCTCACCCGCAACCCTGAATTGGTTAAGCAAAAGAGGATGGATGCATGGATGGATTCTACTTCAGCAGTTTATTTTTAATGTGTCTTAATTATTTATTTATCGTAATAACTTATTTATAACTGATCTCTGTCCTCTATAGTGAGGATTTTCTGATTATTCTGCTTTGATATATAAGATGCGAGCACAGGGCAGGACAGGGCCACCTTCATAGACTTTTGACCTGCGCATGATTGTTAATGTCTTGCCAGTGAGTTTTGCAGGTAATGAACAAAGTTTTTCTACTTGCTTGTAAAAAATCACCCTGACTTTGTTTTCTTAGAAGAGATGATGAAACAATAAATAGTTTTAAAGGTTTTTGTGGATATCTTGTTGACTGCATTTACATATAGGGCATTTTCTCATACTTCCCTGCAGAGGTATGTGCCACCTGCCTAGACCTCTTGCCCCTCCTTTGACCCCGCCTCCATGTAAAACTTTCTAGATCTGCCACTGAATTTGATTTAAAACAGAAAAGAGCAGGACGCATTGATGCAGTTGAAGTTACAGTGAAGGGCGCCCCCTGGTGACTGCTATGGTCTCTGCACCTTTCCCGTTAGTTTTCTCTTTGAGGTTGTCCTTATTAAATCCACAGGATGTTCTCTGGATGTTTTCAGGTCGAGTGACTGTGAAAGCGCCTGAAGTCACTGAGCCCACCTCAGAATCGACAACAAGACGAAGTCATCCTCTTTTCATCTTCGGCTTCATGATTTTTCTCCTGTAACTTCTTCCCCTTCTAATAGTGAAATGTTCCCGTGGCCCTGGCTGCAGCGCATACTCAGTCAATTGCCTCAGTTCTCTTTCTGCTTGACTTTATCACTAATTTACTAAATGATTGATTTCTTCCAGGACTGCAGCATGGCTTCATAGCAGAAGAGTTGTGGTGCCTGCAGATCAGACCTTTCACCATATGAGAGCATTTGAAGCATCATGAAATGAAATACAACAAAGAGGATCCAGGACTGTGGACTCCCATCATTCTTATATCATATTATTTTATTTACCTGATAAATCTCCCCACCTTTAATATAAAACCTGTTGAATGCAGCTTTTGTATAAATAGTTAAAAATTGTAAATTCTATTTATGTATAAAATTTATTTTACATAATGTGTTTAATGAATATTGGTACTTTGTGTATTATTTTCAAAGACTTACGAACACACTTTATTCATTTGGGTTTACATCATAAAATCACAAGTTAGGGCTTCATACCTGATAATTGGACATTACAATTAACTCTTTACTGTTTATCCAACGGTGACATATTACGCTGATAATTACTGATCAGTGTGACTGAGCATTTATTATCTCTAAACCGTTTTTCTTTTTTTCAATTTTGGTCCTCGTGTGTGTGAATGTCGACTCTTTGGGGATCCGTGAAAGCAGCAGAGGAGTTTTGGGAGCAGTGACGCGTTAAAAACTGTTTTAATTCGGTGAAACACATACAGGTGAGCGCAGACACCCGGACAGGAGCGCCCACAGCCCGGTTCAGGTAGAAGCAAGGTTAGACTTAATTAATTAATTAATTAGGCCTAATTAATTAATGATCAACTTGGAATAATTACTATGTCCCATTCCCCTTCTCCTCATGGTTTGCATCCTCGTGTCATCATGAGGTGTAATCCAGATTTAAATTAAGTTGCGTGTCTTCCAGCTGTTGTTGGAATCTTTCCTCTGAGGTTTTAAATACACAAAGCTATAGACAGATGCCTGCAACAGTAGGATCCATATGAGTGTCTCCAAAAGTCTCTTTTGGTCAGTGAAAACATGTTTAAGTTGCTGTTTAGTCTTTCCAAAGTGTCATCCATCCATCCATTGTGATCACAGTGGCACTCCCAAGTCAACCCAGAAAACAAGCATCGCTCCAGATGTCCCCAGAGTCATAAACCAGATTTGGGCTGATAGTTA